CGATCTTCATCTGTGGAGTTGACCTACAAGAAGGACCCACGACACACCAAGATGTTACCATACAAAAGTAACCTATTTTTTGGGGGGAGGGCCGGTGCTGTGTTGTTCTCAATCAACTACTAATGTTGCACCTTGGAAAAAGCATGCGGAGTGTGAAGTGCAAAAAGCACGTGGTGTAAACAAGCCTTTTAGGGATCCAAACGGAATTTTGGATGTTACACCACATGCAGAACTGTTACACCAAAGTGTTACACCAATGTTTATGTTATTTGTAACACTTCTCATCCATAAACATTCCGAAATTCCCTCTTCTCACCTCTTCTCATTTCACCTCTTCTCCCCTCCACTTCGGTCAAAACGCCCAGCTCTCCACATGTGCTCGGATTGCGCACTCCGCGCCGTGTGTTCGTTCCGCCTCTGGATACTTCTGCAGTGCGGAGAGGAAGTTCTGAGCGACCGCCGGGCCGTTCGGAGCGCGGTTCGACTGCGCCATTCGACCGCGGAAAGCGATGGTCTACAGTTTACAGTGCACAAGAAGTGACAAGAAGTTGGTATACACATATGGGTATACTAGTGAGGCATTTTGCCTTATACAGTAGGTGATTGAACATGGGGAGATATCTGGTCCATGAATAAATCATTTCAACAGTTGCACCAAGAAATCTCACTGTGCCGCTGAACATCTGGGAACTATGAACAAACGATTCTCACCGTGCCACTGGCACACAGCTCGACCACACGACCACACGCAGCTTCAGGTGTACTCCGGCGATGTAAGGCGCAACATCCATTGGTGTCCGCCTGCTTGGTGACGGTGCGCATGTTGCAGGCGGCCATGGCTTTGATGGTCACTGGAAGGCCCAAACTTTCGAAGATCGCCTGGTGGACCGGGAGTCGAGATCCCTCCGATTTGGATAGCGAAACCTCTTCGTATGGTGGAGGGAGTGATAAAATCAAGGTTGTACTGCACATGAGTACTGCCGCCCTACGCATGCATTTGGCTTCAAAGATGTTTTAAGACGGTCAAGGTAGCCGCACAAATGCGGTTTCAGGCTTTGACACAGTGAAGTCCCGCCCGGGCGCAGCGCATGGGGCTATGCGTCTTGCCAAACAACATGAAGCACCATCCCTCAATCAACATCAATTCATTGATAGAGAGTCATTCCTGCGAACATCTGCTTTCACGACATATGCGGCTGGTGAAGACCTTCCAGGTCATGGATACGAAAACAACGAACGGTAACAGCCGAATGAACAAAGGCAGTTACATGCATTTGCATGCATGTAGTAATTAATCCTTTTGCAAAAGAGCTTACCGTGCTCCTACAAAGCCATCGGATTGCACCAACTCAAGCTTGGTGAGACTTGGGAATGATTGTAACATTTCAGGTCCCAAAAGTTTGTTTTTGGTTCTCGTTTTATAGAGACATCATTCGCTCGTTTCTGGATCTTGAATTTAAGGTCGGGCTCCCTTCTGCCAGTGGCCAGCTTTTTGCCAAGGAACGCCCATGCCGATGACCTTGCCACTGGAAATCTTCTCGATGGGTTGGTCATCCACCTCAGCGCCCAACGAAGGCTCCCTACGGTGCCAGGGAAAACCGCGTCTAGGCAAGTCACCAATGGCTCAAAAAGGAAGAGCGTTAAGGCACGACCCAAAGTCAAATAGGTTTAACTACTATCAAATCCATTGACTTTAGATGGTGCAACTTCCAATTCAATGGATTCAATACTATCCACAAGCCTACTATGGTTCATATTTAAAAACTTCACATTCTCCGGATTTCATTTACGACCATCCACGATACCGTTCGGCCTTTCCTTTTGCTGTTGGCTTCACCTTGCCAGAAAGACTTGGTTAATCCGTCCCCTGTTCTTTTGGGATCGCAGCGCTGGAGCAGAAAATCCCAGCATATCCCAGGACCAGAGTTTAAGAAATGCCCAAATCATCCCAAATCCACTGAGATCCAGGTCTTGCCACTTCATTGCGACCAGGTCGGTTTCACCACGTGCAAACCAACAAACTGACCAGCCGAGGGACGCAAACCGCTGCCTCTCCATGTTGAATGAAGTAGATCCTGTCCACATCATCCTTGGCTGACGAGTGAATCGGGGGTGAAATCGTGAAGCCGTTGGTCTGTCTATCGCGGGATCGGTGCCGACCTCCCAACATTTCAGATGTTTCATATAACAACATATTGATCCTGGATCTTCCCAGTGACCCAACTTGATCGGTTTGAGGTCACTTAGGCTTGCAAAAAGGTCACGTAGGGACTCCAAGAAGGTCACGGGGAAGGTCCTGGAATTATAGTGTATGTATATAATGTTCACATCACAGTAAACTACGAGCCAATTATGAACCTAAAATCGCCCGGCTAGCGAATAGACTAGTGTCAAAAAAGACACACGGCACACTAAATTTAGGTTGAAAATAAAGATTACAGTAAGTCAATAAAACCCAGCTTTTGCTCAAATAAAGGCATACAATTGTGGACTACTTACCCTCAATAAACCAATGGTTCGTCAATAGGTTACAATTTAAAACAACCAGCCAAATCTTCTAGCAACTCTAAACCATGAAACTGTTTACTACATCCTTAAAGCAAAAATGTTTTGGCAAAGGGTACCCCTTACAAGTGCCGATTATATAATATATATATATAGTTAATATGACATATATGTATAAGCTGCGGTGAGAAAACAAACGTTCAATTCCAGCTGTCTCCTAGGTGGCAATAATAAGCCGAACTCATGAACCTTTGTCCAGACTAATTCATCAATTGTTGAATTGAATTCCTCTCTCTCTCTCTCTCGCTCTCTGGCGGACATGACTCGTCCTGGAGTCGTCTCACAAAGACGCCCAACGGCAACTTCCCTGAATTCCTGTATTACTTTGAATAAACAACATAAGCTGTCCTAATCTTGAGGTGTGAGGTGTACTATGCAAGTAGTATGTTGTTACGACGAGCGCAACATGTTGCCCCCCCATGTTTCACGATTAATAATAGGGGGTGTCATTCTTCCACTGTGCACATAGCAACCCGGGGGCCGGATGGGTCGATCAAAGTGTGATGTGTCATTCTCTGAAAGAGTTCGGTGCTTCGCAGCACAGTGACTAGTCGACTCAAACATTGGTTTACCTCCGTTCCAATCCACGGCTTGGTTGACCTCCGTCCCACGGCGTTCTTGTTAGGCCATCTCAGAGATGCAACTCTTGGAGCTGCCAGGCATCGGAGGTAGATATCTCTCTCCATAGTTCAAAGAAATGTGTTGCATCGTTTTATTGAATAGTTAGCATGCATAGCTGGGTGCATTCGAGTCGCATGCTCACGGAAAATGACTTGGTCATCCACGAACGTCTCGATGGATGCATTCAGAATCAGTTCCTGCAGTGCAGCACTTTGGCTCGCAATCTACGATCCGCATCTCAAAACTGAGCACACCCTCTGTCCCTCTCTGTCCCTCTCCCCTCACCAGTCCTTGATAAGATTGGCATCACGCCCTGCGAACTCCTGTGTCTTCATAAAGGCTTCGAGGCCATCAAACATCTTCTGTTCCTCTCGCGGACGAAAACAGCAACAATTCAACAACTTGTCCACAATGGACCACAATAGAGGAATGACATCCTTCTGTTGGGCTGTCCTCTATGCTGAACTTGGTGTTGTCCTTTTGGATGAACATCAGCACGGGGCCCACGTTTCCCGGCACATCTTCGGTGCACCCCTTCAGTTCTCCCAAACAACTCGTGCTCGGCGTCGCCCGTGCAAATGGCGTGAAAACACAAATGACAAAGGGACCTGCTTGTCCTAATTGCAATGGCATGTTCCACTGAAAACACAAACAAACAAACAAACAAACAAACAACCAACCAACCAACCAACCAACCAAACAAACAAAACAAACAACCAAACTATTCTGACTAACTAATATGAAAGTGGACGGCATGGTTGTTTGGAAAACGACTTCCCTTCACGAACTTGGTGGGGTCTTCCACTTCCACCACCATGTGATGTGTGTTGTCGGCCCCTTTTCCACGTCGTCCGTCCTCTGCCTCTCTTTCGGCCTGCGGCTCTCGACACCACACACGGCCGTCGGCAGCCTTGGCCTTTTCAGGTGGGGTGGCCTTTTTGGGGGTCGGTTGAGAAGACCATACTATATAAACGGAATGGGCGGCCTATTGGCCCATCCTTTTAGGTACCTTTAGACTCTTTAGACTGTTTACTGCTTACACTCATATCAACACAACATAACACCACCATAAAAGCAATGAAACCTCCTTTTTAGGATCAACTCTTTGGTGGTTTTACCCACATCATGCCACCACCACATACCCACCACTACCACAGCCATGCCTCGGCCATGGCCGTGCCCAACGCCACTGCATCGATGCAGGCAGCGTTGCATGGGGCTCGAGCCCAACGGCGTTGCGTGGAGCGAGTGGTGCACCCGGTGCCGCCACCGGGGCGGGGAGTAGTTGTTGGAACTCGGTCAGAGACACCCGGATCTGGGTTGCTTGATGTTGCTTGACTCAAACCCTTAGAGCCTTAGAGTTGATCAAACTGGATGGGTTTTATAAAGACTGGGATAGATTTGGGGCATTCTGGAACGAAGAGCCAAGCTTGCCAAATGCTTCTTAGGCTGGCTGAAGTGCAGCCAAGAAATGGAGGATTTGCTTTCACAAGCATCGAGGAGCCGTATTGCCAGTACATGTTAAACCAAACATTGCTGAAGCTGGAGGAAGTACTGTACAGTTGCCGCAGATTTGCCACCTGAGGAAAACTACCCTTCCCTTGCATGCCTTTATGTCTCCTGGGTCGGCGGTTTTCTTCGTTGCCTTTGCGATTTGCAGTATAATCAGTGACCAAACCAAGTTCTACTTGGGATGCCATGGCTTTTATATACTCACGGTTTATTTACAGGGTATTGCGGGGTGTTTCCACCAAAACCAACAATTCAACCTGAATCCCGTCGCCGCGATGTCTCCCAGCCCTGTGCCCCCCCACTCGGGGGCCAAAAAGTGCCGCACTGCGCAGCAGGATCAGCTGCTCGGACTGGGGATGCCGGTCATCACATGCCGGATCATGACAATGCACTCGACCAGGAGCACACATCATGAGCAAAATATGCCAAAATACCAGGGGAAGGTATCAAACGTTATCAAGCAACTTGGCCCTCTGCCGGGAGAGTCCAAGTGGGATCATATCCAGTGGCAAGTGCAAGCATCTAGAATTCTGGAATCGCCGCCTCCAAAGCTCTTGGTTTGCCTGATGACCCCATCGAGCATGGCAGGTGGTGGGACTGATGACTTCTGAGAGTCAAAGCAACAATTGTTGGACATACATTTACTCCCTATGGGTATTAAGGTCACTCAGGGCGTTACGCTTGCGGCCCCTGAAGCCCCCTCCGTATCATCCCATCCCAGCTCCGCACCCAGCGGTGGGCATAGATGCCACTCACCATGTGCTCTGCAAACTGCAGGTACCTCGCCGAATTACTCGGTGTCAATCATGACCCTGGTCGTCCCTGGGTCACACGGATGCATCGTCGGCCGCCAGGCGCCCGATCGCTTTTTTTTTTTTTGGGAAAGGGTGTAACAAACGTTGAATATGAGTCATATATGAGTATTCTAACTCTAATAGAATTATGTAAGTCATGAGAATATGTAATTAACTATACTCATTAGAATATGTAACTCATGAGTCACATGAGTCATAACTCTTTGAAGTAAGAATGATACATATGGCTCAATGGCTTCAGTGAACGATCCCTCTCCGCTTCTCGATTCCACCAGGACTATCATGACTAACCCCCCAAAAAGAACACTAGGTATGAGAGATCAAACGAGGACCAAAGTGACGTGTGGGGACGTGGCTCTGAGTATCTGTGGAAGTTGACCAAGCTTGGCGATTCATGCTGGGCAAGAGTGTGGGTTTTCTTGTTCAAAGCCCTCTCATTTGCCGTTCACTTCAGGACATGAAAGCCAAGAAGCAATTGCATATTTCTACTGCCACATGGGCAAGAATTTGGACATCCTGCAGCAGATCCTTCAGACCCCCCCAGCGGCACAAGGGTGTGGTGAAGAAGCGCGCATCGCCGATCGTCCACCTCGGGTGGAAAGGGTGGCAGAAGGCACTGGCTGGTCGGACCAAGAATCAGCGACTGGCTGGTGGTTTCACCTCATTGTCGAACCTTCTGTGAAGTGCCTTGTGGATGGCAAAACTGCCACAGCAAGCTAAGCAGCTAGAGTGCCTGTCCTGCCTAAGACAGAGAAGACATGAGAAGACCAAGTACCCAGCTCTGGGCGGAGCATGCGGGCAAATCAAACTGCAAGTTGAACTCTGCATACTATAAGTCCTTTTCACCTGGAGTCCGGGCTGACCACCTGCAGCTGCAGGACCTTTGCCTGGCAAATCGCTCAAGCGATTTAAGAAGCGATAAGGATTGGCGTCCCTTCACAATGAGCGGGGCCATGTGGGAAGTACATCTTTCGCGGAAGGCATTCTGGCATGCACAAGGGCAAAGTATGGCAAACTAAAAAGGGGCAGGTTTGACCGAACAGCTGCGCATATAAAAAGTTGGATCCAAATATGCAATGTTGCTCAAGTCAAAGGGTTTCAGGGGCAGCATCAACTACACTCTGAAACCAACCGTCCTGGAACGCCACCATAAAGACGGCTTCCAAGTCAAAGAAATGGACAACAAAGTGCTTCCTGCTCCTAGTAACGATGCCCTTTGTTCCCTGTAGCTTCTTGTTCCAAGTAGTGATGCCAGGAGCTACTAGTAGCTTCTTGCTCCTAGTATAAAAGTCCGAGACATCATTTTTTTGCGCCCATTCCTGTAGCAGGCCCCGGCCTACTAGAAGAATATCCACATCTGGTTCACCCGTGTACTCCATCTGCTCGAGAAACCTCAGGAACAGCGAAGCAGTCTGTGGAGTTGATTCCCTGACACCTGAAAACCAGTGGGTGAATCCCAAAATGCCGGTTGTGCAAGGGCATAGCCACCCACCTTCCCATGCCGGTTCCCACACACTGCATCTCGGTCTCTTCACGGTTCCACCGGCGTGGATTGGTTCGGTACCAGCGAAGGGTTCGAGTGTCGTCGGAGTTCGGTACCGGCCTGGCGCTTTTTGGAGGTTTGGACACTGCGGTGAGTGGGTTGCGGTGAGTGGGGACACCATTCGTCCAGTCGTTGGTTCGTACTTGAGACACCTTGTCGGGGGACTTCCCACTGTCTGAGATGGGTGCTGGTGCGTATGCACTGGATAACTCATGTTTTGATTTGTGTTTTGGAAGATGTTGGCAATATGAATGGTTTCATGCCAATTACATAGCTGAGGTTCAGTTCAAGGAAGGTTGGTCGGACACAAATGGGACCACACAATTGGGTGACTTAGTCTCTGATTAGTTTGGCATGACCACCCATGGCCGTGGCTGCAAAGGACACCATTGACCATCAGAAGTGGTGACCATAAAGTAGACTGTAAAGATGTGCTCACTTCTGCTGGTAGTGGGTCTGGTGGTGGAAAAACAAACACATACAAACAACAAATATCCATGGTTCGTCACCTTGCAAATATAAACAAAGCTGGGAATCTTTGGTGGAAGGAAAACCACGGAGAAAAAACAACACACACAAGCACCACGATGGGCCAAACGATTTGTACAAAGCGAACCGCACCAAGCAAATGCATCCCCTCTCCAGGTCGGGGCGGGTGATGAATTCCCATCCTTCGACCGCTGCGAAGCAAGTCACTCGGCGCTTCGCCGGTCGAAGTCGTCGAAGCAGCCGGGCGCTTCGCGGGAGAGGTGGTCGTAGACCTCGGAGGGCGGGGATAACGCCTTGGAGTCATGGGTGGTCTTGGATAAGTCATAGAGTCATTGGAGGTGTTCATTCCGATTATAACATCATGGTGAACAGTTATGAGACCTTTTCACAACATGTTCACAAATAAGACTTTCAAAAGGCACCGAACCATGCCATTCATGAGCTGGGAAAGACTTGCCGCTTGCCAAGGTCTTGACCATCACGCAGCCAGTCTCCTCAGTCAGCTTGTTCAAAGGGCAAGAAGTATCAACAACATGACTCACATTGAACCACGGGCGAACTTCTGAGGAAACAAAGGAAGGTAAATCTATATCCTGAAGTAGACCAGCTGTGGACCAAAGAAGCCAACTTTGTATTTCAACACGAGGGTTTACCAATCCTAATATCTTCGACTACTGGCATGGGTCTTAACCTCAGGTACCTCCAAATTAAGGGAAATAAGGTAAACATCAGGTCTTCCCCTCATAATGTAAACAGTTGAAAAATAACCCCCCACCGTAGTACAGCATTTTACATCTCTATTGGGGGGTTACCCCTTCATGGTTAGGCTCAATGCGTTGAGATTTGAGAAGCATCTTTAGGCCCCTAAAATGAAATTTCAGAGCTCCGCTCGCCGATAATCACTTTAGAGTTATATATACTTATATATATATATATAAACAAATCTTTGGTGGATGAGATCTTGACTTTTGTGGATGTTAGACAAAATGTGGATGTTTCTTTCTTGATAGACAATCTATTCATGTCACGTGCAGGAGCCACCGACGTTCGTTGTTCGTCACTGGTTCTTCACGGCGCCTCGGTGCCCACTGAGGACGTGACGGCCATGAGCTTGAAGGGGTCAACCACCGGTGCAGCCACAAAGAAGAGGTCCTCAGAGCAGGTGCTCCGCAGGGAGGTGAAGCAGGGCGGCTGAAGCGTGGGACTCTGCCGAGCAGGATTGACTCGTTCCTGGATGTCTGAGCTCGCTGGCCGTGTCGACTCGGAAGAAGTAATCGTATCCTGAACGAAGTCTCTCACGCCCGGCCGAGAGCTGCGAGGTTTGGGGTGATAGATCCAGTGGAGTTGAAGGCTGAAGGCATTAAAACCCTAAACCTCACCAAAAGGAAAGGAATACCCCAAAGGTTTCATCATTCTCTCCCCCTTTCCTAGTCTTTGTCTCATATTCACTCCCCCTCTCCATCATCCCCCTGTGAGCTCAGCAGATTGTTGAAGGTCATGGCTCGGTGTTCAACAACCTTCAGCCGTGGCCTTCTCAATGGTTGGGTCCCAAGAAACTGTGTAAACTGACACAAGTTCTCAACTACAAACTGCACATGCACCCTGTAGTGCAATTCATCAATATGTCGTTTGATCTTGCTGCAACACTAACCTGCCCCGCGCGGACCTCAAGCATCTCGGTTTCAAACCACGGCAAGAACGCCCAAAGTAGCTTCACAACTTGTGGAATATGAGATACGAGGCATCGTGTCCCACATTCAAAAGAAAAAATATGTTAGGTGGTCTTTATCATTCTTTATCAACATAAGCCAGGAATCTGTTGCCAACTCCATGTGGGGATCGGAGTTCGTTGGGCGTGGTTTAGATGGACGACAACGCCCTGACTCGGCCCCAAGACTGAGGTTGCAGGCCCAAAGCTTTCAAAGGTGACTCTGGTGGACCAAGATATCCGCCCCAAACTGACACTCCCAAAAAGCCTGCAAGAACCCATGCAGAACTTGACTCCCCGGCTATTAAAACCACATGAAACCCGAAAGCCACTGGGTGGATCTTCGGAAAATGGTCGAAACCACGGGTCCATTCTCAGGTTCCATGATCTGCAGGGGGGGTTATAAATACTCTCCCTGGAACTAACATGGAAGTGGACAACCACCTGTTTGTAGTGGAACATGGTCTGACTTACAGGGCCATTCTCCACGTATATAACCATGTGAGTTCCAGCGAGTGTATATATATATATATAGGGAGTGACCACCACCTTGGCGCCAAAAGCAGCTATAGGACACTAAGAGTCACCGACAGCTGTCACCGCTTGTCGCCTCCATCTTGAAAGGTCTTCGTGCGGAACATACCAGCCTTTGTCGGAAGGCCGCGCATTGGTGTGCGACGATGCAAGTCCCCCAAAGGACCTAATTATAGACCTTGGGTATATGTCATAACCAGTAACAATGAAGATGCTTAGAAAAATAGTCTTAGTAGAAGGCCTCTCTCACAAAAAGCGCACATAAAAGCAATTATTGGGCATATCTTGGCATATCTCACTACACCCTCACTACAGCGGATGCAACCAGGCTTCAGGTTGAGTCTCCCGACGTCGACGTAACATGGTGATCGTGTGTGATGAACATATTTTTACCAATTCAATTGTTACCAGTAATGGGACACTCCCTAACCCAGACACTCCATGTATGCCGATCAGTTGGGGTGGTTTTGGGGGGTCAATTGCAGTCCCATGGAGTGTCTGGGTAATCAAGACATGGAGGTCTACTCCTGAACATGGCATGGAACATCATGGAACTCTGAAACTGACCTGCCAGTTCCGCTTGCACCAGTTGAACGCTGTACAACCGGGTGGAGGCCCACATGGAACCTGAACATGGACCTTGAAAGACGATTTTCCTCTACAACCCGGTTCTCAGGTTCCATGTGGGTCTCGGAACCAGGGCCTAGATTCATCAGCGGCACACGAATAGCGCCACCTTTTTCCATGCAGCCGAACGACAATTCATAAGTCTTTAGTTTCAGGATTCGCGAATTCGCCTTCAGCACATGGAATCGAATCTGCTAGGCCTGCTAGGCCGTCGTCCAGAACATCCCAAATGCCCAAACATGAAGACATGAAGATCACCTATGGAAAGTCCAGGCGCGTAATATTCGAGCGAATCCCAAACGGCATGTTCGAGCTAAAGTCCCACCTCTTCCAAACCCAGTGAATTGGGTCACGAAGGAGTGCAACGATGGGAAGGCCTCTTGACCCGGAATTGGGATCCAAGAACTTGGTCAAACCATGTCAAACCTCCCCAAAATCGTGGCATGGGCAGTCTGGTCAACTTGAACCTGATGCAACCTGAACTCTTTTTGGATCTGGTGTCAGGACAGGTCAGGATCTTTCAAGAGAATACCAGGGACGTCGTATGTAAGAGAGGATAGAGATTCCACCAACATACGTGCAACCGGGTCTGCTTCTGGCCCTTTGGCCTCCGCCGAAGCTGGCAATTCGTAATCGACAGCTGAGCATTGAAATCCAGATCCATGTTCGGTCAGTTGTAGCGGTGTTAAAACTGGGTTACAGTATTTGTATTTAACGATGTTCTTGTTGTCCGCAAGTGCAGAGTAGAAGGAGCCCCTCCTCCAGTGACCATTTTATGGCACGTTCTAGGGTCAGCAACAGGCCTGACAACCGTAGAATTGATCGGTACATGTCATTTTGAGCTGCTGCTAGCTGCTAGAGGCTTTTAGGGAATCCAGCACACAACAAAATCGCAGGACAAAGATCATCCCCTTGAAGGTGCCCATGATCTCCTTTCAAACATCATGTCAACTTCGCACACTGAACTGCAGGGTTCGTGCCTGGGCATTCAACCTGTCAAAACAATGGCTTGACATGTTGCCTTGTTCACTGCCTTACCTTATAGTAGTATAGGGAAAACAGTGTTTAATGGTCAAGGTTTCACAGTTGACACCACAAGTGCTTGTTGTCGGGATGAGTTGCTGGGATGCACTTGTCGGGATAAGTGCTACCCGACGTCGGGTCTAGTCTAGAATTCCAATCCTTAAGAACCATGGCAATCTTTGTGAAGAACCTCATATGATCAAATAAGGGTCGTATGGCTCACCCCTGCGGCCATCCCTACTTATGCAAGCAACAACCCTTGCATACTTGCACATCGAAGGGCAAGCAACATGGATTTGTCATGTCTGCAACTTGGCCAACCTGGTCCTTGGGGCTCAACATGCCTACAGATTGACCATGTTCTTTTCAAAACGTATTGCAACACTTTCTTGAACCTTTCCGGAATAAACACACATGAACAAGTTCCCAAAATACAAAGGAAATACATACTTGTTGCAAGAATGCAAGCATATACAAAGCTTAGGCTTCTGCAACATTGAGTTATATAACTTTCTGACATGTTATCTACTAAGCTTATAGGTCGGTTTACAATCCAACCTTCGTCTACCAGGCTACCTACCGGCTAGTAACTGAGCGGGTACCTTTCCTCTCGGTTTAGCGCGGAAACCGCTCAGTTGCCTCGCCAGGTCCGGGACTCTCTCCGCCGCTCAATGCTGCGACTCCGGGAGGACTTCTCCTCGGCGCAGAGCGCGTGGCCACAGGAGCTGCCACGAAGCTCTTTCACCGCCGAAGTGGGTGGGAGGTGGGAAGATCCAGTGTGTGGATGTTAATAGATGTTATACTACTTGTTATTAGCATATTAGTTACAGCATTTTACAGCTAGGCGTTCGCATGGAGTGATGATGGTACCAGTCCGAAAGGTTCATCAAGCCAAAGTTGATGGATCTGTGTACAAGTCGTTAATCCTCAGAATCTCATTGCCCCTCTATAGTCGGAACACATTTGTAACTTGGGTGATGACATGTCCATCTAGATCTCGATCGCAACAGGGGGAGAAGGTGTACGAATTCTTGCTCAGCAACATCTGGCATGCACCGCCTACCCTCTGACATGAGATGACACCGAGATAGTGTCGCACTGCCAAGCGATTCTATCGATCATCGACCGATACTGTAGCTCAAAGGGGCTTCCACCCAAGCCACCCAAGTTCCCTTGGTGCATGGACCAAGTAAAACTGTTGTCCCTCCGGTGGTTCTTCGATATGTCTTCCTTCAGCAGCAACTGGAACCCTTTCGCATCGCCGAGGCAGAAAGCCCTGCAGCATCAACACCTGGCCCCGCTTTCGCCCTTCAACCGAGCTGCTCGGTAGATTCGCGTCCGCGGGGGTGAGAGTTCATCTCCTCGGCATCCGGGAGAAAGGCGGTCGAACGCACCCTGCGGTCGTCTGGTATATAGTACACGACGCGGCTAGGTGGGCGCGGAGTTTACTACATCTGGTAAAACAGCTGCGTATGTCATGAACATCGGTTGGAGTTTCATTGTCTAGGCTCTGTACCAATTGGGAGGAGGGCCGCAGCATCCCGCAAGCAACAAGGAATCCGTAGTCTTGGGGTGGCGCTGCTATATGTCCTCCATAAATTCGAGTAGAGTCTGTTGGGTACCGAATGGTCAATGTTGGTTGGCAACGATGTGGTCCTTTTCTTTTTTAGAAGATTAGACGGTTTGCCTATTTTTCTCGTCCATCAACAACACAGTTAGAAAGTGCGCTAGACCGATAGCATTCCTTTGTCCACACCCGCTCCCATGTCCTGTTACTTTGAGCAATGTTGCCTCACATGTGCAGCTGGAAGTCCAAATTATGGCCTTTTTGCCCGGCCAACCAAGTAGTGCACCAACCAAAAGCACAAAAGCCAGGACCGACCAAGAAAGCAAAATCACTCCAGTGCGGCCTTTAGGCTTTCTGTGGGCTTTTAGGTGTCTCATGAGCCTTTCCAAGCGGCGTTTCTTCTTGGGCATCCGCAGTCTTTCCAGTGCGGCCTTCTGTCGATCAGCCTTCGAATCCTTGCAAAGCAATTGGCAGCCCCAGGAATCAAACTCGCTGGGTATGGTTCAAACGAACTACCCGAGGTAACATCTGCAGGAGTTCGTCAATATCTGCACGGTTTTGGATTCGGTTCCGCCAGTCGGTTCGGATATTGCAGTTGCTTCGCGCTTTGCCAAGTCGGATCCTGTCCATTTCCATCGCCACATATGGCCACCGTGGATCATAGATCTTACAAGTCTTAAGTATATATAGCCCTCCTGACTCCAGACACGACCAAATCGATCCTCCAGTAAATGTATGTGGGCCTTACCAAAGGCTCCTCAGTGCCTTACGAATAGGCCTGGCAAATTAGGAGGGATCAAAGCCTCTACATGTGGGTAAACCGAAACCTGTAAATGGACCTTTAGACGACTAGCTTCCTTCGCAAACCAGTTCTTTTCAGCTTCCATGTCAATCTTCCAGGATGTACTTGATTGATTGATCAACGCAAGCCACAACACGCTTGAACTCAAGCAACATTGTCATTCCTTGCCACCTCCCACTCTGATCCCCCAACTGATGTCCGACAACCTCCTTGGCCAAGTGACACGTTTCTCTTCGTGTTTCTCTTCGTGTTGCTGGGTTCTCGTTGGCGAGCAGCTGTCGCTGCCTATGATCACGACAGGACTGAAAGAAGGCACATGTTTGCATGGTCCCTTGTTGAGGAACCTGGGTTCCTTACACGGTAGATTCCATTCAACTGTGGAATCCACTAGGTTGACAGGCAGCGCGAAAAGCTCTACTATGTTGTATGGTTAACTTAAGTTACAACAAAAACACACATGTGCGTTGAATGACAGCAATTGATGAAACATGCAACCTCTTCATCCCCCCCACCTCCCCATTCTGACCCCCAGAAACATCAACAAAAGTATCAACAAATCACCCCACCCCACCGTACCCCACCCCTCCAATCATTCCACCACTGAAGTATCCAACCATCCACCACCGCAACCATCCACCAACACTTCCCCCGCCCTCCACGTGCCAACTCCCCACTTGCCGCACCTCCAGACTTGGTGCGGGTCCTGCCATAGATGTCCAAGCCCCCCTTGACGCGTTGCAAGTCCTCCTTGCCCCGCGACTCGGTGACCGTCCGCTCGAAGTAGCCTGTCCGACCCGGAGCAGCGCGCGACCCGAGAACGGAGAGAGGGAGGGATGTGAGCCAGCAGAGGTGGAAGAATCCTATACAACCATCCTATATGTACCCCAGTAGGGTCCTATAAGGTTACTCAACCTCCTTTGGAGAATGGAAGAGGTGTGCAAATCCCCTAGGGCTCAGACTTCGTGCCTCCTCAAATGGTATGACTGGACTGGACCAAACACACCCACCCCAGTTCCCACCTTCTTAGACGGTAGGACTGGAGCCGTAGGGAATGTCATGTGGGGGTCTGTGATGTTCTATATCTTGGGTCTACGACTATGTCTGCGTACTATGTATGTCTACGATGTTTGCAAGTTTCAAGAGCTACATGAGTCTGATTTGGACGAGTCATGATCTCTTGTGTCATAGGAAAGCGTTTTGCATGGATTTGCACTTGGAACACCATCTCACTTTGTACATGGCCGGTCGATTATGGCAGTGATGCAAGGAAGCTAAGATTGAACCTTTTCTGAAATCGAACGGGTAAGGGATGGTAAGGGAAACTAGCAAACAGCAAAGCCGTTTCAGCTGTTAGCTGCTGTTAGCTGTACCACGAGACCAGCACCCTCCAAGAGGTGTCTATAAATAGCCTCTTCTATTGTTAAAAGGTGTCCAAAAGCCACCTGTTGGAAGGCCCTGGTAGTGATCTCGACCGACAACTGATCCAAAGCCCAAGCACGCCCGAGCACTCCATACATGCAGGATACCTTGGTAACATGACTTGCTCCAGCTTTTGACCATTATCGGAGTGAGAAAAACCGACTCGTCCTCGTCACCGCCTCGAAGCGCCCAGGTGCCCAGCTTCGTGCCTCCTCCGCGACCTAAGCCTTGGATGGCTCGAGCCTGCATCCGGAGCTCGCGGTCCTGACCAGCAAGACCCATGGTGTGGCACCGCGGTCGCGGAGCACTGGGGACCGATGGGTCGTCCGTTGACCCCGAGGGATCCAGTCGTAGCTTCTCAGGTGATTGGAGACTATTTATGCTTGGAGGGCTCAGTCGTAGCTCCTGAGGTTCGGTATGTGGATTTTTAGGGGACCATGTGTTATGCTGGTTCTTTGCATGCATGTTGGTGGTGCAAAATCAGCAACTTTAGTAAAACCACCAACTCGAACCAGGGGAAGAACAACTTTTCAGGAAACAAAAGAAACGAGAACCCTTCGCTACGCATTCGGAAAAAAACATATCGCACCATTACAGGTGGTTTCAGAGTAAATGGCACAGGCCCCATGATGTCCTTTAGATGGGGATCCATATAAACCACCACTTGAGGTCTGTGCCATCTACTCTCAATCCACTATAACACTCCGACAGAGTCGGACCAAACATGATCCGCAAGCGGAGCACTGCTCAGGAGCACTCCTGTCGAGGTGGCTTGGAGCACTTGGTGCAATGACTCCAGGAGGACAAGTTGGCTTGGCCACATTCGCAAACCCACCTGAGTTTGGGCAAAAGAAAGAAAACACGCCCAGGAGGTGAAGATTTCTGAGGAACACGCACTTCTTGGACACGAATTGACCTTTCTTCTGCATTCGCCTACCTATTTTTTTGGGGGGGGAGGGGGGTTCTGACTGACTGGTGATCAAAAGGCCCAAAAGCATGTCAAAGCTCAACCAACAAAGCCCCAGTGGCTTAGGAGCATCCTTGGCATCTAGCCGCGATTGCAGGCTATTTTGCACCACCTGTGATGGAGCACCGCGGTCCCAGCCGGCCATAGAACGGCGGTCCACAAATGTCCGCGGCCCGAGCGCGCGTGATCTTTTTCTGAAAGCGCCCGGAGAGATGCGCCACAGGTGTCAGGTGGGTGGCTCATGGGGTGGCTGCTGACTTGGTGGGTGCTGAGCAGTTGCAGTTCATGTGTTGGATCACTAAGTCCTTTCAGCTGAAAGCCCTGAAACGCTGGCGGCACTGAGTTCGTCTTGCATTTGGCACACCCAAAACTGTGGTTGAACACGGCCACTTTAAGCATAGGCCATCTCCGTTCACTACGCCAAATGCCTGCAAGCCCTCCAGGCATTATAGTTTCTGCATATCCCGTCTGAACATCTGCCAGTGGCTCGACATCTTGACAAAGCTGATAAGGTGACTAACCACTGCCCTCTCCGGTGTCTCGTGCTCATGGGAAAGGTAGAATATACATGTGCACATGAATATTATACATACGGTACAAAAACTGAGCGACTGATACTACTGATTTCACACTGGAACCATCTGCAGGATGTCTTCGTGTCCGTCCGAAGATGCGATTGTTTGCAACAAGCTTCAGCATTGGCCAGTGCCCTGCAACCAAAGCTGGCTGCGTTCACCATGTTTTTCCCACACGTTTCTGCCGCTCCCTGAGCGTCCCAGCAGTAAAGAAGTGTGCTGCATGCATCCAGTTGACCCTGGCGACCAAACGGTGAACACCTCTGGGTGTCATCTTGGGGTCAATGTCCAACGCGCGGATGTGTAGGTAACGCCCGTTCTATCAGTGATAACTATAATTATATACCGTAATTGCCAGAGGCAAGGTAGAGAAAGGGCCTTGTAGCTAGGGCATCCAACTTGAAACCGCACGAAGCAGCTGCAACGCATGGTATGGTGGACAGGGACTAGGCTAGGCTTTCTAAGCAACAGCTGTCCGAGTGAAAACGTATTTGGCCCCTCTGATGAATTCATGGTTCGTTCCAACCGCTCATGCCGCATGGCCAGCAAAACTTCACAGTCCGGATGACGTACCCAAGCACCAAATTGGGGAGCAAGGTTCTGGATGAAGGTTGACAGAGAAAACATCATAGACCACTAGCTTGGAGGGTCTTGGGGCAAGGTCTCTCATAAGAAAAAATAATAATAGCTTCCCATTGGCTTTCCTTAGGCTGCATCGCTATGCAATTTGGCAGTGGCGTTACCTTGATTGAAACCACATTGGGGAAGTAATTGTTTCAGTAACCAGCCAAACCAGGTATCTGATACAGTAACTATCTGAACCACGTCCGAGCTCTACCAAATCCAAACGGTCGTGGAAGTGAGTTATCATCACCTACGCCAAAGTCAAGTGAGTTACCATCACCTATGCCAAAGCCTAGTTTGCCCCACATGCCACCGTGAGCTATCTGAGTCGTCCTTCACACCTGCCAAGCCGCGCAATGCAATTTTGTTGCCCTGTGGCCTACTCGAGACTCGGCAGGGGGCATGAGGTGTCTTACAGGGCTGCCACTCTGAGTCCTTTGTAGATGGTTTGGGTTGGCAATTTGGATCTTCACCAAGACCCTTCGATTTGACAGATGACACAACATTAGTGTTCACCTTCTCAAACAACAAAAACACTAAAAAGAGCCCTGCTGGCTCAGGTTCCGTGCTTTTCTCCTTTGGTATGTGACCTTGGCATGTGTTCACAAAATGAGTCTGTCATGCCCCCCTACTGCACCTGTGAAACGAACCGGGCCATTCACACATTCACAGGCCGGCCACGTCCACACACCTGGACGATTCTCCACCTGGAGATCGAGTCGAAAACCGTCAACCCGGTCGCTTTGAACCAAAGCACCAAGGCAGTTTTTGGAGTTGCTCCTTCAGAGAAGACGCAGAACATGCTCACTTATCCGATAGGCCACCAAACACATCCGGAAAGCGTACAAAGACAAAGGCATTGGCATCGTTGGCATGGGCATGTTTGCAATTCCAATCCTTGAGGAAATAAGTTTCTTGGGTGTCATTAGTTAGATGTTTGATGGATGGGACTGGGGTGCTCAAACTCCAGACTCATCGGACTGTTCTTTTCTCAAAGCATCCGGACAACTCGAATTCCCGAGATGTGTTTGTCTCCTCCGTGCATGGGAGAACCACCTCTTTGGTCCTTACTTGGATCTTCGTCAGTTGTAGCACTTTTGTTATCCCTTTGGATGATGACGTGAGGAATCAGGAGACCTGAAAATGCTGCTTAATCTGGAAATGTCTTCGGACCCATTGGGGACGGGACAGCCAGAGTAACGGGCCGTACTGTGAAAGTGTCTCAAGAAAACTGCCAAGACTTCCTCTATAGGTTGGTTTAGATGGCCCAAATCTTGACCTCTTGTAAGACCATTCTTCTGGATTGGGGGAATCTCACCAAACAATAGTGCTTAGGTCTGTTGTATTGAAATGTGTACACTTGTTTGCGTCTTGGCCTGTGTACCTAGTACACCACTTTCGTCTTGCTCGTGAAGTCTGGCGCGCGTAGTAATTAGGGTCAAATCATACATATGTAAGTCCAGTTTGATACAAATCCCTCGGGGCACATTTGATTCCTGGTCTGGTCTGGCCTCAGTCGGATCCCGAAGAGGACGCATCGGAATCCTCCTCGTCCTCATGCCTCGGCGACAGCTCTGCCCAAACATGGAATGTGAGACATGCCCCTTGGGAGGACTAGGTGGCACAATGGCACTGCATTCTTGCTCAAACCTTGTGGGAACGCGTAGGTGTTGGTGCATAAACGTGCATAGTCAGTCTTGGAACTTCAGTATCTGGAGGTGGACAAAGCCTACAGACCTAATGAAGGATCACAGCTTTGGCTACGTATCACTAGTTTCTGGCAGTATGCCATATGCAAATTGGGTAAATTTCTGACCGTTGCTTGGACAGATTGAGCATTGACTTACTGTAGAAGAGATGCTCTTCCTCCGGCTCCTCCTTCTTCTTTTTCATGTCCCTGCCGGGCCTCGGCCAGAACCCAACGACAAATCCATGCTCTACATCATCTAGACTCCTGATTCATCACCATGCCCTCACCGACGTTCGGTGGACCCCCAGTTGGATTGCAAGCCTCTTCATCACCTCCCTCGCGGCCGGAAATCCAACGAAATCGTTGGGACGGGTCTCACGCTGCTGACACTCATGGTCAGAAATGGTAAACCGCTTATCGTCATATTGGGTGGGTTGATTCCTCCAATCCACCGGAGTGGCCGGCCATGTCCGTCCGAAACTCGGTCACCGTTTCGGTTGCGCGCCTCCGGGGCCCTCTGGGAGCTTCGTCGCCGCTGCCCACCTGTGGAAGAAGGTAGCCAGGTGCGCTGTAAGGTGGAGGTTTTCCAAGTGGCTTACAGTTTGACTCTTACCATGTCAAAGATCAAGGACCTGGCCAAATGAAGGTTACAACTAGAATGTCCACTTCCTGTTGAGCCTGAAAAAATCTGAAAAAAATAACATGTCCCCCCATCCCCTGCGTCATGCTCTCCTACGGCCGCGAAATCCGCCCCAACAAAACATCATCCCGTCCTCTTCTTCACCTAGCGCTGGCCAACCCGGCCGCCGGCGGTGAAACGCAACAAAGTCATGCAGCAATGCTGTTAGGTAAACCATCCTGGTATCTGGAAAAAAGCATCAGGATATATCTGATGGCCAAATAGATGGTGGCACCGTTTCCAAGACATCTTTAGTGGGGATCTACTTGTCTATCTATTTGGGGGTCTATATTAATTACTGATGTACCTGAACATTGCACAGGAGCTCTCCAATGTTGCAGGGATGCACATGCCACGTCACAGTTAGTGCAAAGTACAGGTAATACATTGACAATCATTGACACAATATAGCTCGGCTCCCCAGCTGCGGCTAACACGAATCACTAGAAAAACGAAGTCCTGCGAACAAACTGCACATCGAGCCAACAACCTTTTAATGTCATCCTTGGGATCGTTCTTGCGCCGGCAAACCCATGCCCCAACAAATTTTGCCGGTATGGGCTGCAAGTCAACAACCAATATAATGGCCACAACATGCCAAACCAATGGCCACATGCTCTTCACCGTTTGGCCAGATAGTATGGTGAACAACCAAGGGCCAAACGGTGCCACGATGCCAAGCGGCTTTCATCGCCCTTCAGGTCGCCCATCCATTGCTGGAAGAGCGTGGGCTGCAGGTCCAGGTCTTCATCCTCCTCCCCATGCGGTGCGCGTCAAGGAAGAAAGGCATAAGCCTCGAGAAAAAAACACGATTTACGGTGATTCCAGGGTGTTTTTGGCGGGCAAATTAAAGCAATCCACCCAAGTCTTTGAGACGAAACAAAGGACGAGTTCTCAGATTGGCTTGGCTTGGCTCCTGATGCACCGGCATCTTTCGTACCAACTCGTCCTCTGCATGAGCATGGAAGGTCAGCTCCACTTTGTGGTCCAAACCAGCATATGCATCACCTCATGCGTGGCTTGCTCAGCTCAGCTCCAAAAGGTGCGTGGAAGCCAAATGCATATGTAACATATGTAATGCACACCATACCTGACCTCAACGCCTAGCCTACCATCACTTGTACCATTCTGCACCCACAAAGAGATTGTTTTGTCAATCGGTTCAGGTGCAACTTTGTTGAACACACATGATTTGATATGATTTGGTGGCACAAGATGGGCCCTCTGCAAAACCATGCACCCTCTACCAATGCGGGTGACTCCACTGTTTCACTCTAGGATTATAATGCGGGAGAGGGCCGAGTCCCCAAGTCTACACTCCCTGGTGGCATGGCATGGCCCTCTTGGATGATGATTCTCCTGGCTTTTCCACTTCCGTTTGTCCAAAGGAGTGTAACCGCAAAGCGGTTACAAGCCTCACATCGTTCTCCACGCTTCACTCACGTCGGCCGACCGGGTCCCCATGGCCAACGCCGGGCCAAGGCACACATGGCGTGAAGCACCAAGTTGTTCTCCCCCGCCTTAGTCACCTGACATCTGAAAAAGCCACCAGGCAGTAGTTCTTCCATCAAGAGTCTCTGGATCTACCCGGCCAGTAGACGTTTACAGTACACTTTGCCAAAAGACTCCAACGGATTTCCATGTTCTTCCCAACATTTAGAGATTACAACCCCAGGCACTTCGATGTATGCCAATAAAAACATAATATATATATATATATGTATATACACCTAGAACCCATTTGGCCTTTTGGCCTCCTTTTTGATCAGAAACGGCCATATTTTGGATGGTTGATCCTCCAAAACAGTGGTCACTCAGGTTCGTCAATGCATGCCACCTGTTTTGGATGGTCACTCAGGTTCTAGGCATGCCTACACCTTCGAACCACCGTTTCGCTGAGTCCGTTTCGCTGCGCCGCGCCTGGAAGCGGAGCTTCTCCTCGTGGCACCGCTCCGTCTCCGTGACGCGTTCGAAGTGAACGATGCGTTCCTTGGCGCCACTGTCCACCAGGAAGAACCTCGGGCCCGTTGCACTTCCGAACGCGGAAGGTACCGCGACGTACCACAGAAGAGAGTTGAGGACTTTGTGGGTTGGGTGGTTTTTGGGACGTACTTGCATTTTCGGGAAATTGGTGTTGTTTGTGATATCTGGTTACATGCTTCCTCAGCGGGTCTGTATCAGCTTGTGGCTGAAAAAAAAGGGATTGATATGGATTGATGTTGATTGGTTCGCATGTGTAGCCAACA